GGCATATATATCAAAAGAAATTCTAATCACTAAGAAGACCAGTCAGGGGGTCAGAGCGATAGCACAGCAGGGAAGGCGTTTGCCTTGCATGCAGCTGACCTGGGCTCAATTCCCGGCATCCCATACGGTCCCCTGAGCACCGCCAGGAGTGATTCCCGAGTGCAGAGCCAGGAGTAACCTCTGAGCATCGCTGGGTGTGACCCAAAAAGACAAAAAATGGTGACAGGGCTGCACTCTGAATCCGCTGTGGCACTGGGTGGCCAGTGGTACTAGGCCTTTGGTGGCAGGTCACTTGCTTTGGAAAGTAGAGGCTGGGGCAGCTATCAGCTCCCGAGATGTCCCCCAGGCTTTCTTCCCTCGGGCCGTCCGAGCCCTGTTTTCACCGTCTTCAAGGACACGATACCCATTCCGGGACCCAGCCATGCTGACTCACTCCCAGGGCCTCTGCTTTTTTTTACCCTTTTTGGTTTTTGGGCCACACTTACAGGTGCTCAAGGGTTACTCCAGGCAGGCTCATGGGACCATACAAGATGCCAACTCAGGTCGGCCGCATGTGAGGCAAATGCCCTACCTGCTGTGCTATCATCTATGGTTCCGGCTCCAAGAGCCACCATTTTCTTAAGAGTTGAGTGTGTCTTGGGCCAAATTCCTTCCAGGTATAAGATACTATTACCCAAGAAGTTGACCAATTTAAAGATCAGCTGGAAGGTAGGAGATCCTTTAGACCAGAGCATAAAGGTCATAAAAAAATTTTAGTGCAGGGGGCTGGAGCAATAGAACAGCAGGTAAGGCGTGTAAGCCTTACCCTTAATAGCACAGCGGGTAAGGCGCCTTGCACGCGACCGACCTGGGTTTGATTCCCAGCATCCCATATGGTCCCCCGAGCACCGCCAGGAGTAATTCCTGAGTGCATGAGCCAGGAGTAACCCCTGTGCATCGCCGGGTGTGACCCAAAAAGAAAAAAAATTTTAGTGCAGGGGCTGGAGCAATAGCATAGTGAGTAGGGCATTTGCCTTGCATACGGCCAACCCGGGTTTGATTCCCAACATCCCATATGGTTCCCCCAGCACCTACAGGAGTAATTCCTGTGTGGAAAGCCAGGAATAACCCCTGTGCATCGCTGGGTGTGACCCAAAAAGAAAAAAAAATGTAGTGCACAAATTCAGAATATTTCAACTCCCATTTTCTGTGTCGTGCCTTCAATGTGAACATTTTGGTTCATGTCCTATAAAGAGTTCACTCACCTCCCAAGCACAAAGCCAGGAGTAGCCCCTGAGCACCTGAGCACTGCCTGGTGTGACCCAAAAACAGACAAAAAGATTTCACTCAGAATTTCAACTAAAAAACCGGGTTGGAGTGATAGTCCAGTGGATAGGGCGTTTGCTCTGGACACAGCTGACTCAGGTTCAATCCTCAGCATCCCATAGGGTCCCCCGAGCCTGTAAGGAGTGATCCCTGAGCACAGAATCAGGAGTATGCCCTGAGCAGTGCCAGGTAGGCCCAAAAACAAAACAACTTCAACTGAAAAATTAGCCAGAGAAGCCGGATAAATAGTAAAGTGGGGAGGGTGTTTGCCTTGCATGCAGCCAACCCAGGTTAGATCCCCGGCATCCCAGGTGGGCCCCTGAACACTGCCAGGAGTGATTCCTGAATGCAGAGCCAGGACTAACCCCTGAGCATCACCAGGTGTGATCCAAAAAGCCAATAAATAAATATATAGGGGCTGGAGTGATAGGACAGCAGGTAGGGCGTTTGCCTTGCACGCGGCCAATCTGGGTTCAATTCCCAACATCCAAAATGGTCCCCTGAGCACCGCCAGGAGTAATTCCTGAGTGCATAAGCCAGGAGTAACCCCTGAGCATCACTGGGTGTGACCCAAAAAGTCCCCCCCCAAAAAAACAGACCAAATAAATAAACAAATAAATAAATATATAACTATTTAGCCAGAGAGATAGTACAGCAAGTAACGCACTTGCCTTGCACGTGGCCTACCTGGTTCAATCCTTGGCACCCACATATGGTTCGGCCAGGACTGATCACTGAGCACAGTGCCTAGAGTATAAGCCCTGAGCAAAGCCAGGTGTGACCCAAAAAGCAAAACAAAAATAGAAGGGACCAGAGATAGTAGAGGGGCTAAAGGAGTTGGTCTCACAGGTATCCCATGGTGCCTGAGCACTCTCAGGAGTGATCTCTGAGCACAAACTAGGAGTATGCCCTGGGTACCACTGGGTGTGGACAAAAGCCAAAAAAAGAAAAAACTTACCAGGAACTTTGAGCACTACCTGGGAGCTCCAAGCAGTAGGTCATAAATGAGTTATGGTAGAGAGGGCTGAGGTGGTTGGAACACACTTTGCACATGGGACTCTTGTGTTTGATCCCTGGTACCATATGGCCACAAGCACAAAGCTGGGAGCAGTCCCTAAGAACCAACGGTGCGATCTGAGGTGCCGAGCTCGATCCCCAGTACAGTCAAAAACTAAGTATTTTAATGTTTTAAAAGTATAAGGTAGGACCAGAGATAGCATAGCGGAGAGGTAGTTAGCCTTGCACGCAGCTAACCGGGGTTCAATCCCTGGCACCCCGTATGGTGCCCCAAGCTCACCAGGAGTGATTCCTGAGAGCAGAGCCAGAGTAAGCCCTGAGCATCACCAGTTCTGACCCAAAACCTAAAATATATAAAATAAGGGCTGGGAGATAGGTCAAAGGATCAGAGGACACGTTTTGCACAAGGGCAGCTCTGAATTCAATTCCCAGCTATGGTTCCAAAACTAAATAACAATTTTTTTAATTACAATTAGTTTCAGGTGGGGCTGGAGCGATAGCGGGTAGGGCGTTTGCCTTGCACGCAGCCGACCTGTGTTCGATTCCCAGCACCCCATATGGTCCCCTGAGCACCGCCAGGAGTAATTCCTGCGTGCAGAGCCAGGAGTAACCCCTGTGCATTGCCGGGTGTGACCCAAAAAGGAAATAAATAATAAAATAAAATAAAATTAGTTACAGGCATGCAACTGACCCGTGTTCAATCTCAGTGTCCCATATGGTTCCCCAAGCTCCGCCAGGAGTAATTCCTGAGTGCAGAGCCAGGAGTAACCCCTGATCATTGCCTGACAGAAAAAGCAAAAATAAAAAAATAAATTAGTTACAGGGCTCCCCTGGGAGTGAACCTTGAACTCTGAGTCAGACATAAGCTCTGAGTACAGCTAGATGGGACCCAAAAAACAAAAGATAAAAGAAGTTGTCCACAGGACGGGGAGGGAGTTCAGTGGGAGAGTACACACTTCCAATTCACTGTATTTGAAGTCCTGGGTTTGCTCTGTGCCCAGAATACCATATGTGGTTCAGGGGATCAAAATGGATCATGCAAGCAAGCACCTTTTTTTGGGGGGGGAGAGGCCCGCACCCAGAGATGCTCAAGAGTTACTCCTGGCTCTACACTCAGGAATTACTTACAGGGCTGCGGGGACCCTATCGGAAGCCGGGGATCAAACTGGGTCAGTCTTGTAGAAGACAAGTGCCCTCCCCACATGAAATGTTTTTCAAAATGAGTTACCAGGAGCTGGAGTGATAGCACCAGCTTGCCTTTCACGGTCTACGGGGGATGGATCCCCACACCCCATAAGGTCCCCTGAGCCCAGTCAGGAGCCAGTAAGCCCTGAGCACAGAGCCAGGAGTAAGTCCTGAACACCACCGGGTGTGGTCCAAAAGCCAAAAAAAAAATAATTGCAGATTTAATAAATAATGAGTTACCATTAGATCAAACTTTTAAAATGACTGGGAGAGTGAGCAGAATACTTACTACTACAGGAACCCGGCAGCTCAGCTAAGAGGTTTAGTTTATTGGGGCTAGAAAAAAATAGCAGGTAGGGCGTCCGCCTTGCACTCCACAGAGCCGGGTTCAACAACCCAGCACCTCATTGGGTCTCCCCAGCTCCCAGTGATCCCTGAATGGAGTGCAGAGCCAGGAGTCAGCCCTGAGCACAGCCACCACCTGTGCTCCCCTGAACAATAACACGGTTTTAGTCATTTCCCTTTTGTTATTCACGCCTGCCTGTGGGGCCAGGCTTGAGGATGGGGAGCAGCCTTGCAGCACTGTCACTCCTTCCCCCAGCAGAGAGGAGGAGGGCATTGCCCTGCAGAGAGGCAAACACTTTGACGCGCCCGTGCTGGTGCTCGGCATGCAACTCCAATGAATAGGAGCCAAGCGGTTTCAGGAAGGGAGAGAACGGGGACTCTCACAAATGATGCTCCCCTTTCGCGCAGGCTGGGAAAGTCAAGTCGGGGTCCCGCAGCTCCTCCCCCACCCGGAGCGGCTCTGGATCACGCTCGGTTCCTCCCCAAGTCCTGGCAGACACGCGCGCTGCGCTGCGGGGTGCAGGTTCATTGTCTGGTCCCCGCTTCCACCTGGCGCAACCCTCCACGCGCCGCTGGGAGCTGGGAGCGTGCGCGAGCCGCGGGGCCAACCTACAGGGGACCGACCCCTCCCCAGGATCCCCGGCTGCTCGAGCAGAGCCCCCCTCCCCGCAGCCCTCAGTGACCACCCCCACTCCCCCCTCGCCCCCCGGTCAGTCCCAGAGAAGCCGCGAAGAACCACCACGAGCGGACGGGAGGTCCTGCGCCACCGTCCTTGGCGGTGACAATCCGCTTCCCACCCGGGGAGGGGGAGGTCGGGGATGCTGCGGGGAACACGCCCCGAGCGACCGGCTCCTCCGCCGCGTCCACAGCCCGGCACGGTCGGGGGGTCCCCAACGCCGACCTCCAACCCGGGACGACGCGGGGGGCTCGGGGGAGGCCCGCACGCGCCCCGGGGGCCCGCAGCACCTGACACAGGTGCCCCGGGTGGGCGCCGGGCGAGGTGGGGCGCGATGCTGGGGGCGATGCGGGGGTCGCCGCCGCGCCCCGCCCCCGCCCGCGGCGCCCCGAGCGCGCGCCCGCCCCCCACCGCCGGGAGCGCGCAGGCCACCCCCGCCCCGCGCCCCGCGCCCCCCGCCCGCGGGCCTCACCGGACTTGGGCGGGTAGCGGTACACGGAATTGGACGGGACGTCCACCTCCTCCACGCCCGCGTGCTGCCGGCTCGTCAGGGCCCCCATGGCCGCCGCGGCGCCTCAGCGCGCCCGCTCGCCCCGCGGCCCGTGCGGGGCTCGGCTGCCCGCCGCGGCGCGCTCGGCGTCGGCGCTGCGGCTGCGGCGGCGGGAGGCCTCCGGCGCGCCGCGCACCATCGTCCACGGGCCCCGCGGCGGCGCGGGGACCGAGGGGGCGGCGGGCTGGGCCGGGGGCGCCGCCGCCTCGGGCCGCGTGATGTCAGCGGCGGCTCCGCGCGGGGACCGCGGCGGCCGCAGCCAATGGCGAGGCGGGGCGGGAGCGTCGGCGCGGCGCCGGCCAATGGGCGGCGGGCTGTGGGCGGAGGGGCGGGAGCGTCTGCGCTGCGCGGGCCAATGGGAGGCGGGCTGCGGGCGGCGGGGCGGGACCGTCGGCGCGGCACCGGCCAATGGGCGGCGGGCTGCGGGCGGCGCGGCGCGGGGCGTGCGGGGCGGGGGGCTGCGGGAGTCCGGGGTCGCCGCGGCGGCCGCTGCACCCCGACTCCGAGAGGGGCTCGCGGCGCACGCGGCGCGGGGCCGGGAGCTGACGCCCCCCCTTTGGCCCCAGAAGTCACCTGTCCCGCCCCCAGCATCTGCAGGGGCCCGGGGACCCCCCACCACCGCGGCCCTGGCAGGGCTCGGGAGCTGGGGAGGATGGCGTGTCAGCTGCCCTCGGACCCCGGCCCAGCGCCCCAGGGCCCCAGGGTCGGGGAGCAGGTGATCCTGCTGGACCGAGGTCGCCGCCGTCCCTCCCCTCCCCGCGGCGCAGCCCCGAGCAGTGACGGGCCACCGGGGTGCTCCTGGCGCCCTGAACTTGGGAGAGCATCAGCCCAAGATCAGATCGAGGCATTCCGTCTCCGATTGCATCTTTGGGAGACTTTGGAGAGGCTGGTCTATGTGCCAGGAGAAGTGAAGGCAGGAGTGCACCGGACTGGGGTGGGGGGAGGATGAGGGAGCACCTCTTCATGTAAACACTCAGAAGGCAGCGGTGAGCTGGACTGGCAGAGGACGTCATTCCAAAGCTTAATTACAGACATTGGTGTTTTAAACCTCCTATTTTGGAGGGCGGATGGGGGGTGGGGGCGGTCCTGTTGTCTGGTGGGGTTTTTCCTGAGAGGCTGAACTAATCAGCAAAAATGGGAACTATGCTAGATTTTTCAAAGCAAGGTGCAGTTTGGAGTGTCAGGCTTCCTTGGTTAGGTTTACGGAGGCATTTTCTAGGATCTAGCCTTTTCACCCTTAGCTTTCCAGCAGACACCAACACATTGAGCTAAAGGTATTATTTGAACCTGGTTGTCCTGGGAGTGCTCTGAGATGGAGCCAACTCAGCCAGCCCTAGGGGCCCAGAGAATCCCGGTAGACGCTGGCCAGTGAGCAGCTTCTCCTGAACTGTCAGTCGTTGATCCTGTTATTTGTATGATAATGCAGTATGTAAGGAGATTATTCCAACTAATGAATTCATTAATAGTAAGTTGACAGCAAAGGCAAACAGGCAACTTCAAGATCCGTTAGTAATCATGACAGGCAACATCCCAACATGGCTCACTGAACTAGGGAAAACCTGTCCGTTTTTCTTCCCTTTTGATACCGGGCAAATGCTATTTTATGTAACTGCATTTGATCGGGATCGAGCAATGCAAAGATTACTTGATGCCAACCCAGAAATCAACCAGTCAGATTCTCAAGATAGTAGAGTTGCACTAAGATTGGATAGGAAAAAAACGCACTGTGAATAGAGAGGAGCTGTTGAAGCAGGCAAAGTCTGTGATGTAGAATCTCGGCAGCTCCCGGGGCCATGTTGGAAATCCAGTTGGAAAATGAGGTTGGTACAGGTCTTGGACCCACACTGGAGTTTTATGCATTTGTATCTCAGGAACTGCAGAAAGAGCTGACTTGGGTCTCTGGAGAGGTGAAAAAGTAACACTTAGCAATCCGAAAGGAAGCCAAAAGGAGCATTGAGATCATGCGTGAGAAGCTGTTGATAGCCGCACGGGAAGGGCAGCAGTCGGTCCATCTTTCCTGATCACAGCGAGAACTACAGTGTCCGTCTGTTACAGCAACCAAAAAATCATGATTTCTTCTCTAAATGTATCACCTGAGTCAAGGAAACATGTCACACCTTGTTGTAGGAAGAAACAGCTTGCAGAGTATAAAAGAGACCCTTGGTTGATATTCGTTAATGGCCCCATGGACTTAAAGTGATCAGGCCCTAAAATGTTGTTGTGATGAGGTTTCCTTAGCAAGTTCTTGTTTAAATTATCATTTATTTGATGAGGGATGTTTTTAACTTGCTTTGCTGTGTGAATTTTTTTTTTTTTATTTATTGAATCATTGTGGGAAAAGTCACAAAGCTTTCAGGTTTAAGTCCTGGTTATGCAAATATCAAACACATTTCCCTTTACCAATACTTATTTTTCACCACGAAGAACCCCAACAAACCCTCCCCTCCCAATTCTCCTTGCTGTATGAAATTTAAAAAGGGATGTTTTCCCAGGCTGAAACAATAAATGTCACTGTGCAGTTTGATTCTGGGCTGTGTGTCCATTGAGCTAAGCCTGCAGTTTGTTTTTCTCCAAAGACATGTTTTTACATCAGTACAGAAATTAAAGCTCACATGGATTTGACAACAACAAAAAAAAATCCAAAAGGAAGCCAAAAGGATACATCTGAGCCCCTTCCTAGCCCTGCCCAGTCCTGGGCGCTCCCCCTACAGACACAAGTCTCCCTCCTAATTAGTGGGTACAGGTAAGATACGAGTCATTGGGAACCTTGACTGACCCCTGGGCAGAGTAGAATGCCGGTCATTCTCTATCTACAAGCCTCCTTGCTTCCTGCTCTGGGCATGCTGAAGGAAGGACCCTTTGCAGGTCCAGCTCGGTCTGAAGGGTCCTTCTCCCCAGTCCCTCAGCAGCTCCATCCTCTGGCTGGCAGGGGTTTCTTCTGCTCCCACCCCCCTCTGCTTGGAGCCTATCAAGCAGGTTTGATCCCCATCCTAGGGGCTAATTGTCCCCATCTCTGCCCCTTGGATCCACCTCCCACAAATGAGCCCATAGCACATGGCATTACTGGGGTCCGGCTGCATTAGTGGACTCCTTTCCTTCCGTTCTTTTTGTTTTGTTTTGTTTTGGGCCACACCTGGCTAGTGGTCAGGGCTTACTCCTGGCTCTGATCACTCCTGGTGTTTGGGGAACCCTGTGTGGTGCCGGGGATCAAGCCCAGGTTGGCAATATTCAAGACAAGAGCCTTACCTGTTTATCTCCCCAGCCCACTGTGCAGTTTCTAAGTGCCCAGCTTGATTTTACATGTCTTACTCACAGGAACATGTCTTACTCATGGGAACATATCCATCCTTTAGCAGAGGGGCCCAAGCTGATTTGGTCTCCTGCCCCCTGTTCAGAAAAACAATTTTTAATTGCTCAGTCTCTCCCCTAGAAATGTACCTACCGGGGCCAGAGTGATAGTACCCGTCAGGGAGGGCATTTGCCTGGAGATAGCACAGCGGGTAGGGCGTTTGTCTTGCACGTGGCCAACCCAGGTTTGATCCCTGGCATCCCATATGGTCCACTGAGCACCGCCAGGAGTAATTCCTGAGTGCAGAGCCAGGAGTAACCCCTGTGCATCGACGGGTGTGACCCAAAAAGCAAAAAAAAAGCAGCGCAATCCAGGGTGGCGGTAGTAGTACTCGAACACAGTTGGGGGTGTTTTCTGTTTGTTCCCTACAAGAAGGCAGTTTTTTATTTTTGGCATTTTGGGCACACCTGGCAACACTCAGGAGTCACTCCTGGCTCTGCACTCAGAAATTATTCCTGGCAGTGCTCAGGGGACCCTATGGGGTGGCGGGGATTGGACCCAGGTCATCTATGTGCAACACAAATGCCCTCCCCACTGAACTATCGCTCTGTCCCCCATATTGAATTTTCAGTTGGACCTCTGGAGGCCCTTGTGTAACTTTGCACTAAGCCCTTAGTATGGTCTGATTCCTGGTCCAGAAATCGCCCTAGAAGGCTCTTATAGAGCTGTGTACTCAGATCAAGGCTGGGTTCAGGGGTGGTGGGGGGGGCTGTTCGAGAAGGCTCTCCATAGAGCCTGAAGCAGCTTGAGTCCCACAGTCTACCTTGTAACGGCACCATTGTTAAAGCTTGGGGAAAGGGAACCTGGGCCAGTGCCCAGGGTGAGGACTCGATAAGCATCTGAACCTTCAACTCAGCCTGGTTGGCATTCCTCACTCGTTCTTCCTTGGTACCACGGGTTCCCTTGCCAGAGATCTGGGCCAGGGAAGGGCCTGAGGAAGAAGGTAGCAGGGGTGAGAGGAAATATCCCCAAGTAACTGCTATCATGAGAGCCATAAAAAAAGCTTTTATCTTTGGGGGGAAAAAAACGATCTGGGGAGGGTGCAGCACTGTGCATAGGGAAATCACATGCAAGTCTCGCGGGAACCTGGTGGGAAGGGTTTCGCGGCCTCCCATTACCCAGCCCTGGATGCAGCCTTGGGGAGAACCCCACCAGAGAAGTCAGCTGCTTGTGGAGTCCCCAGAATCTCACGGGGGTTGGAGGGGTGGAGTCCCAGCTTCATATTTTCTCGGGCCCATCTCAATCTCACGTCTGATGGGATATAAGAAAAAGCCTGAGGGAGGGGGCTGGAGAGATAGCACAGCAGGTAGGGCGTTTGCCTTGCATGTGCTGACCCGGGTTTGATTCCCAGCATCCCGTATGGTCCCCTGAGCACTGCCAGGAGTAACTCCTGCGTGCAGAGCCAGGAGTAACCCCTGTGCATCACTGGGTGTGACCCTCCCCCCCCAAAAAAAAGCCTGTGGGAGAAGCACAGGAAGAAGCAGAGTGATTTCTAGGTCAGAGAGCGCCTTTGAGCTTTTCCTTTTGTTCCTTTTGTCTGTCCTGGTTTCAGCTCCCAGGCGTTTCAGCTCCCACCCTTGTCACACATTCGCTCCCTCCTGATCCCCGTGGATTGCCCTAGCAGCCGAGACGCTCACAGACCAGGCCCTGGCAGCCGCCGTTTCCAAGGGCCGCAGCTGGGAGAAGGATGCCTTGGGGACCCCAAAGGGCCATGTCAGGCCACTCTTGGCCTTTGGCTTGGGGGGCTTCACCCCTGCTGGAGGAGCCAGCACCCAGCACTGTTC